CATTGTTCACCCTATGAATGCCCACTAGAGGGCACAAAAGCACATTGCTTGTATCACCAAGGTAGAAGGCTGCACTCAGAAAGGGTTGATATAGCAACCAGGAAAGGATCCAGATCTGAGCTTCTGAAAGTCCACGTTTTCCTAAAGTGACCAAGTGCAGAACTATTCTACGTGGGTGGCTCTTTTTCAAAAAAGGAAATGCTGTGGACTCTCTTACCACTCCTAATGGTCACCTAAGGAATCTCCTAAGATTTCTGAACATGGGCTGCCAACATGCAAAGAACCCCTAGATGGGTACAAAGAGGCCACCTCTTTAGAGGTCATCTGAATTTTTGAGCCTCTTCTCTGTGGCACCCTTTTAGGTATTGGAAGACTCCTAAAATGACTCCCCTTAGTCTTCTCTTCTTCTTAAGCTAAACATACCCAGTTCCTTGAACTGTTCTTCCTAAGGTTTAGCCTTCCAGAACCTCCTCACCATCCTTGTCAACCTCCTCTGCCCTCTTTCCAGTTTCTCAGCATCTTTCTTGAATTGTGGCAAGTGGAACTAGACCCAATATTCCAAAGGTGGCCCAACCAGTGTAGCTTGGAGCAGAACTATCCCTTCTCATCATCTTAACACCACATTTCCAAAACTGAACTGGTTCTTTTGGTAGGGGCAGCCCAACATTGGCTCACACCATGACACCCAGCTCCTTCTCGCAAGTACACCTTCCAAGCCAGGCGCTCCCTATCTTGCAACTGTGCACCTGGTTGTCCCTACCTTACATTTCTGACCACTGAAGTGTGTTTTATTAGCTGGGGCCTAGCATTCAAGCCTATCAAGATACTTTTGAACCTTGAGCTTGTCTTCTTAGCTGTTTGTGTCATCTACAAATCTGATGAGCATCTCTTCTGTCTATATATGTTGGGTATGTGATGTCAGCACAGAATGAAATTCTGTCCAGGCTGAACTTGTCATTCCTATGAAGGCTTTATTCCAGGTTTATGAGAACCCTATAGAGGAAGGGGGGATGGGAGGAACCCAGCATATTCTCAGTTATGTAGTGTTATTGTTACTGTTTATTATTTTTCTGTTGCTTTCCAAATGCACTGTTGATCTTGCTGTTCGTCACCGAAAACAAATTCCTTGTATATATTTTATACTTGGTCATTAAAGTATTTTGTATTTGTATTGTATTATATTTATATTCATGCAATGAGCTAAGTTGTCTTTCGCTAGGCTGGGTGTGTGCAGACTGTTCGTCACCGAAAACAAATTCCTTGTATATATTTTATACTTGGTCATTAAAGTATTTTGTATTTGTATTGTATTATATTTATATTCATGCAATGAGCTAAGTTGTCTTTCGCTAGGCTGGGTGTGTGCAGACCCAGCCCATTTGGTTCACTTAAGGATCAATTGGGTAAACCCAGAAAACTGGTTAATTCAGTAGCCAGGTTAGGGTTGTATGCAGCCATTGTCAAAAGGGGAGAAATGCATCAAGAAATATAAGTTAACAAGAGGATGGCATTATGTACGGGAATGTGCTAATGTGCAGGAAGAATTGCCACCCTTTCTGGGGCAGAAGCTCTTGAGAGCGAGAAGTTTCGCCTCTTCTTTGTCTGCCCACAAGGACAGAGGACCAGAGGAGCTCCGCCAAAGGGAAAAGTTGGCCACCTGCTGCTTGTGATGATCCACCCAATGGCATTCTTCCCCATATTCTCCAACTCACCTGTGTCTTCAGAGAGCGAGTGCCAATGCCTGGGTCATCTCTGAAAGCAGAAGAAATGACCTGTGGAAGAGAGAAGAAATTCAGAGGTGAGTATGGGTAGCTAAGTGTATAAAAGATCTACAGTGGTGGGTTTTTATTTGGGATCTCCCCTCCTGAAACCCAAAGCCGGGTTCTTGCTACTTCTTGGGTTCTTTGGAAGTTCTTCTCACTTCCAAAGCATGGAGCTTGCAAAGAGACCTCTTCCACTCCTTATCAAGCCCCTTAAAAGCTCTTCTGTCCACATAGCAAACAGGAGAAGAGCCGTCTTGCCCTTCCTTATTTCCAACACCTAATTCTCACATTGAGGTAGCCACTCTCTGCTTTGACTACAGACATCCAGGATGAAATGTGGGAATGTTTCTTTTAAAAATCCTCTGCTATAAAAAAAAAACTAGCTTGGAAGAGCACATGTGTTTTCAACTTCCACCTAGCCCTCAACCCTGAGATTTTCTGTGAGTTTCTCATCCAAGTCCTGATAGTGTCTCACCCAAATGTATTTAGCTTCCGTGCCCAAATTAGGTTACTGTCATCAGATGCTGAGAGAACATCTGAAAGTGGTTTGAAAGGACTAGCTCTAAAACCAGCACAATAAACCCAACTTTTGTAATCATGGAGTGTCAGATGCTACCTTGGATTGACCTAGGAAGTCCTTCTCTTTCAACTTTTCATCCTCCATGGGAGGCCTGAAGATTTTCCCCGGTGGGACACTTTGGGGTTCTAGGAGGAGATGATCCTAAAACGAGACAGAGGTAAAGTCTCAGATCAAAATGGGAGAAAAACAGAATATGTTCTAAGATGGAATGAAATCTCAGTTTTCTTGGGGGACTCAAAGTATGTTCCTGGGTTGAGCTGGGAAAGGAATCTTTCCCTTTAAATTTAAGCAGGAGGCTTTATGTGACATGCTAAAAACTGGGTGTTCACTGAGTTAACACCATGCCCAATCAAATACAACATACCTTGGCTTAATGTGATGGTCTGGTTTGGTGGTGTTATGCTGAACCCCCAATTTTCACAACTCTTTTTTAGCCTTGTCCACACTGTGTCAGCCCTTCAAGATAGACCAGACTAGGAAACCCAAGTCATGAATGTTAATACTACTTTTTAAAATAAGGTTATAGTAACAGACTCTTACAAGTCTGAGTTGCTTCTCCCCTCCCTCCCTTTGTCTTCAAGAGAACTAGGGAGGGTCTTGTCTGAGACGCTTCCTCGGATTACAGTTCTATCCCAGACTCAGATTTCTCTTATCTGACTGTTGTCTTGGTAGCAACTGTTCCTCCTGGTTATTCCTTCTTCCCATTACACGCTGGTTGTAGAAAGCAAGCCGCCTGCTTCCTGAATACAGAAAGGGAATTTGCCTGGCTGAAATTGTGTCTCCAATGAAAAGCAGCACGGCTTACCTGTACTTGCTTCAACGCAATCAGAGTTTGGCTCTTGGGCATTTGTCTGTCTGCTTCTTCCAGAATTTCTCGCGCTTCCTGCCATCTTCCAAGCCAGCAGTGGGTGGCTGCCATGTTGTACAGAACCTGTAGCCACACACAGCAAGCAATTAGTTGCAAGCTCTGATGGTCACACAGAATTCTTCATCAGGGAGAAGGTGAAAATAGGCTCAGATTGTTCTTGATCTCCCAGGCATGGGCAAGAGATGTGAAAAAGCTGTTCAGTTTTTTTTTTCTTTTAAAGGGGGGTAGTCCAGGGGAATTAGGAGCAAAGTTGCAAGCTATTTTCTGCAGATCATAAATACAGGAGCAAATAAACTGCAGAGACTTCCATTTGTAGCAGTTGGGCAGTTTTCTGAGTGACTGGGCTAAAGTAAAAAACATATTTTTGTTTTTTGTTTTGTTTTTTGTTAAAATCTTCAGTTGTTTGTTAAAATCTTCAAGACAGATTTTAGCCCTGCTTTGGCCCAATCATCCCTTCTCTTAGTAATCTCAAGATGTCTTGGGCGTAACTCCTTGCTGTCTGTCCAGAGGCCACCAGGTTAAGAAAGGTATTCTAAGGGTTGGTAAACAATAAAATATAATAAATAATCTATAACATAACATAATAGTATACGTTCCTTTATCCACTGCATGAAAGAGAGAAGATCTTAATTTTTCATGGGGATGCAGTTGGGATGACCATCCAGGTTGGCGCTGCTAAGAAGGACCGAGAGCCAATTTTGCTCCATTGTCGCTCAATGCTGTTTCTCGTCCCTCACCTCGTAGGTGCAGAGCACAAATGCCAAACCGAGTTGCTTGTAATCAATGCAGGAATTATTCCGGAGATACAGCAGAGCCAGCCTCCCATCTTTCAAGGCTTCTTCATACCTGGTGTCAGAAGAGAGGAGAGAAAGACAGAAAGAGAAAGAAGAAAAATTGAGGTAAGGAATGGAGTTGTTTTTTATTCTTTATAGAGAGTGCAGAATCAGTAAGCATTATGCTTTATAAAATGTAACGTGGTGCTCTCCTTCATGCAACTTACAATCAAGACTTTAGACAAGAGAAGTTATGGAATCATATGCATTTAAGCAGACTAGAGGGAAAATTGGAAAACCATCTTCCTCATTATTTCTGGAGGAAACCAGTGCATAGAAAAGCCAAACTTCCCTGGATTGACAGTTCAGAAGTCACAGCTCATGCCAGATTGGGGCTACCATCAGCCACAGCTAGTGTGCCCAATAGTGAGGAATAAGGGAACTGTCATTCAATATTGGGGAAGATGCCTATTCTCGTAGATCTGGCAGTTACTACTAACCCCCCCCCCCCTTCTCAGTTGTATCCTAGGCAGAAATTCAACAAGATTCCTTTGGTGTGCTGTGATATCCATCAGCTGATGCATTCGCACAACAAGCCCACCATGGGGTTTGCTCCTTTATCTGACTGTGTTACGTGAAACCTGCCCCTGTGGTTGACAAACCATGGTTTAGCATCCGTGGAACTAACGGTGATTTGGGCAGTAAACCGTGATGGAATAAACCTAGGTTTGGCGTGTGGTGTGAACACAGCCAGGGAAGTGGCACTTGCTTACCTCCCCAGCTGCAGATGAATATAACCTCTCTGGAAGAAGCCCACAGCCAAGCAGCTGTCTTTGGAAATGGTCCGATCGAACGCCTAAGGTGAAAACAGAACAGCCAGTCAGCGTGACAAGGGCCAACTCGTTTTTCGAGGCCTGCTCCCTCGCTTTGAAACATGGCCCATCTTGGAGAAACGAAGTAGGCTCCATGCGTCTCAGCAGCAGGACGAAACGAGAACGCACGGACACGTCCCTGTCCCGTTTCTGCATCTCAGGAGGCTTACTGGCCAAGCAGCAGGGCCAGCAGTGAAGCGACGGCCACCTTGGTGAGCATGACATTTATTGCATTGGTAAACCCTGAAAATGCAGCTTCATCGGAGGCTGTGAAATGTCTGGAATGGGGAAGAACGAAGGGCTTGGGGTTAACTTGAGCCGGGTTGTTTAGATTGCAGTTCTGGGAAAAGCTCCATAAACTCTTTCAAAACTAGGGCACAACCCAGTGCCAAATGTTTCTGCACGGGGGCCCACCAACACGAAGGGATGCCGACGAGAGCTTAGCAATGATTCATTTCAGCGGAGCCTGAACGGGGCTGGAGAGACTTTCTGCTGCGTTGTGTCTTTTATCAGCTGGAAAGGGGGCACCTCTGAGCATGGGCAGAGTGCATTTTGGAGAAGGGACTCTAGACTGTTTACTTTGCACGCTCTCCCTCTCTTTCTATATTCCTGTGCTAGGCTGATGCTTAGACCAAGCAGAAATGCTTTCTCACAAATCGGTGGCCCCAAGCCATTGCAACATAGCCGTTTTTCTGCGCGCTGCAATTCAGAATAAAAAAGTTAAAAAATCGCCGGGGTGACCACTGGGGAGAGGCAACCTAAAATCTGGATGAAAGAAATGTCTTTATTAGCCTAGGTTAAAGTTTACAAAATCAGGCACACTGTATTGAGTTTCCACCAACAATTCAGCAGCTGAGGGAGTTTAAAAATCCCAGAACACCAGCAAAGGAGAAAATATATTGATATATTTTTGCTTGAGTCACGGCGCCACAGGTTGTGTTCCTGGAGTGTAAATCGGAACTGAAGCATTGCAGAACCAAATGGTTGTGCAAGTCACAATTACCTGGGTCACCCGTCACCATAAACCATCATTCCTGGGTCCACACATTGCCTTGGGCTAAAACCAAGCGAATGACATTATGGCTTCATGTGATGCAAGAAGTAGGTTGTTTGGACTTCATTCAAGAAATCATTGCCACAGAAATCCTGGCTTAATGTGACATTGAAATGTTACCCTTTTTGTTCCTTTGGGAATGCAACACTCAGACCAAGCCTCAATGGGGTCAGATAATTTGCACTTCACTGGGTTGGGAATAACTACTGCATTTTACTAACCAGAGTTTAGGGTTTAGCTTATTGGGTGAACTTGCCAGGACTGTAAATATTTAGGATTAAACTTTGCACTTCTTAAAAACATTCTAAGTGCGAAGTCCACTAACTTAGTGATAAAAGAAAGGCACTTTGTCCACACTTTTAAAATTATGTTTTAATAGGAGGGAGGGTAAATAATGTTTTCTTGATTTGAATAGCTCCCAAACTGGAAGGACAACAGTGTTGATTATTTCTCATATGGCTTGTGATTTTATTCAAAGACCTCTTTCTTCTTCATAATATGGGAACTTGGATTTTAAAAAGGAAAAGGGAAATAAATCTTCCTTTCTCCCCCTACATGGGCATTTTTTTCCAATCTGTGCAATCTTTCCTTTGTAAGGGCTGCTTCTTTTGTTCACACATTGCAAAATAAGAATACCTCTTAAATGCACATAACATGGTGGTGTCTGAAATAATTTTTCGCCCAGCAAACTTTTCCAGTCTGGCTTCCTCCAGATCTGTTGGCCCTGCAATTCTGTGCTGGGAATTTTAAACATTGCATTCCCCATAATGCAAACTTCTTGAATGGAAGAGAATCTCTGTAGCTCAGGGTTGAACTGTGGAGTCCTTGGTGCTCTCTGAGCTTGGCTGTTGGCTGGCAGACGTTTCATTACCCAACTAGGTGACATCATCAGTGCACTGATGATGTCACCTAGTTAGGTAATGAAATGTCCATAAGCCAACGACCAAGCTCAGAGAGCATCAAGGACTCCAAACTTCTTGAAGTCTGACATAAAAATTCCTCTCTTAGAACACCAGCATTGCTTGTGTCCCTCAAAGTGGGTTTAAGCATAATGGGAGATTAGCTATGGTTTGTTGAACAAACCATGAATGGCTGGCTCACCCAACTTGGCAATGCATAAGCCATGATGGTTTACTAAGTTCAAAGACTGGATTTGAGTTCTGCTGAAATCAGCAAACCAAACCATGGCTTACTGCGCTGCATGAACCCCGCTAGGGTTCCAAGGGTAAAAGCTGGGTTGGACCCTGCTATGTGCGAGAAGGTGGTTTCTCTTACCTCCAGGGCTTGATCCAGGTCTCCTTGCTGGAGATAGAGGCAACCAATGTTGAACTCTATCTTGGAAGGAGGGTTTTTGATGCCACGAAAGATGTTTAAGGCAGAATCAAGGTTGCCTTTCTCGAGGGCTAGGATACCTCTGTTCCAGTCTTTTACTAGGTTTTGATAAGCCATCAGTCTTGGTGTCTGTTATCTGGCCACAATCTTGCTCTGGTGGTTTTAGAGTTCATTCCAGTCCTCGTTCCTCTAGATTTGGCTTTTAGAATGAAGCAAACCAGGAAGTTGAACCTCTTTATTGCTCACACAAGGAAACGCAGGTGATGAAACAGGGAGAGTCCTCTAAGATAGCTTAGCTCAACCTTCTAAAGAATTTGGATGGAGAACACGCCTTCCCGTGCCTGTGTTCGTGCTGTGTCCTTACCTATTTACTTACCACTGGGCGCATAATCATTTTCCCCTGCTTATCATTATTATGCTAATGTTCCATTCCTGGACTGCTTAGAAAGTCACGAGTTTGGGTGAGTAGGTGTGAAAGACAGGGACATTTTTTTCCTCTTAAATAAATTCCCCTTCCAAAGTCCATGTTCCTTATATCTTAGGAATCAGGAAGTTGTAGCTTATCAGAACCTTCTGGAGACCTTTGTTCAGGGTCTCTCTCTCTGTGTACAAGGAATCTTGTAGACCTCCTAGACATGTTGGACATGTCAACAGCCTCCATATCTGGACGTGCATCTACATGGCCAACTCCTGGGGATAATGGCAGCTGTAACCCTAACATCTGGAGGGTGACACCTAGTTGACAGCTGGTATCAGGGTTTCAACAGTATGCCATGGGTTATTGGTCATTGGCTTCAGTATGAGGATAGGAGAGGCCTGTATCCTTAGCTAGTCATTTGCCAAACCAGTGGCTGCATTCATGCACAGCTAACCTTCCTTTAACTTGTTATGTGAACCTAGCCTGCTTCACCAGCGTAGGATTCTGTTTCTTGTGCAAACCCAGAAAGTGGGTTAATTCAGTTGCCGTACTTTGTCGTAGTGTGAGAACACAACCAAGTTTGTAGTGTAGGATTCTGCCCTTTGATGTATCTCATTCCACTTTCTCCCGATTGACACTCTGAGCTTAAGGGCTGCTGTGCCTTTTAAGCCAACCGAGTTTTCAATTGCATTTGGGGTCCCCTCTTCTTAGGACCCCTTTTCCAAAGATTTGTGTACCTCTGCAGACTTTGGAGTTACCCCCAGCCTGCGAATTCCTCCCTCTTATGTTTTTGCAAAGATATTCACCATTTGAACACATTAGGAGCAATAACTTGCTTCCTTATGAAATGCTAGAGGGACTTGGACTTTGTGACATCTCTGGGAAGAAACACCATTTCTATTTGGTCACCATTTTGCCACATTTCTGCATTGGGTTGGGGGTGACTAAATCAGTCATCCCCAACCCTGAAATGAAGCAGAAAGCTGAGAGCCTCAATTAAAAGTAGGGATACGCCTGGTCCCAGCTGAGTCCCTTGTAAGCTGAGATCATCTTCAATTAAGTTCATGTCCAAAATCGTAAGTTGGTTCATCTCACTTTGATGCTCCACTTGCTTCTGGAATCTGTTAGTCCTGTAGTCAACCCACTTGGAGCACAGAAATCGATTAAAATCTTATCCCTGGAATCAGCAGGGCTGTTGAAGAAATTCTACTGAAATATAAGACAGGTGGGATGGGTTTATGCGTTCACTTTCTGGGCAAGTATAATCATTTAAGCAACGAAGACCTCTGGTAACCGTGATGGGCAGAAGGTTCATCAGGACTGATCCACAAATCCGCAGTTCCTTGGTTTGTAACAAACATTGGTTTAAAAGGAGCATTCATCCTCATGTGAAAATAATGCCATTTAGGCAAGGATTTATGAAAGAACCTTTCCTTATAGGAGAGAGCTTGGGAACCCTAACCTTGTGCCCACGGCTGAATGTTTTACTAGCAGTTCTATCAAGGTTACCATTATCCAGAGGGGCACTAGGTGGCATCAAAGCAACACAGAAACCCCTTTGTCACCATCGAGTGACAGTCTGAGGTTTTGCAACCAGTTATGGTGGACTTATACTCTTTAGCTAAACATCCCGTGTGGATTCTATTCTGAAATAAGCCTTATTGAATTCAATAGGCCCCAGTCTCAGCTAGTTATGTACTTCATGGGGGACTGTTTTCAGAGTAGGCCTGTGTAGGATTGCCCGAATGGCAAATCCATTAATATAACTGGTTCGTACATTACAATTTGCAAATCTATTTGAAAGCCAGTTCAATTCCCCCCTCCACACCCCAAATGCTCATTCTAAAATTCATGAAAAATCGATCTGTTGGTGAATCTATCTATTCACCAAGACTTGAATCCAATTCTGTTGTAGCTAAAACAACGGTGTGCAAAAATGGAGAAGGAGAGAAGGAACAGGCAGAGGGAGAAAACCAATAGATTTTATTGGTCATTTGTCAATGTATAAAAATCATCACCATAATGAAGGACAACTTCCTCTAAACAACAGTGTGATTACAGAGGAATTCCTGGTTAAATTCATATATTATACTATGTACACATCTGACTGCCATTTCTAAATACAAAATGTACAGGGCTAAACAGCCGAAATACATAAGGGTTAGCAAAAAAGAAAGAAAAGGAAGAAAAAATCAGTTTCTTTAAGGGAATCCTATGTGCTCTGCGACAAAGTGGCCGATACATCCACAGTTTCGAACTTCAAGTAACATGGAAAGAAAATGTCCCAGTCTAGGCCACCCTCAAAAAGAAGAAGAGAAAGTAGAAGGCAAAAGGTACGTAGTTATGACTTTTAACCATTTTTTAGCTGTTTTGATTGATTGTTGCTTAAGGTATGCACCAGAAAGGTTTCAGAAGTGGCCATCTATGAAAAACATACCCTGGTTTGATTCTGTATCTTTTGTATTTTTTTTTTAATTCGTTCCATGCAGCAAAATCTGCAGGTGGGACTCTCTGTTGCATTCGTCTATAGAGCAAGCTGGTCCTGAAGACCCAGGAACAAAGGGGTCTGGTGAGAGAGTTGGCAAATGCTGATCTCGTTTGCTTTGAAACTGTGCTGTGGAATGTTTGCTAACCTTCAGACTTTGGGAAAGGAACGTGAGAAGCCAGACCAGCGTGAGATTTTCTGCAGCAGAGGTATAGGGGGAAGCAGAGTTATTGGGAGGAAGTAAAAGGCAAGGGGACCCAAGAAGCTTGGGGGGAGATGGGAAAGCAAGCAGCCCACAAGTTCTCCAAGGGCTATAGGGCAGTGCTTGGAATGGATTACAGATCAGGCAGAAATAGCTGAAATTTAATGCACAAAGATCAAAAGCCAAGCCTGGAGCAGAGACAATAATATTCCCTTAAACTTCAGGGTGTACACCAGGTAGCCTTCCAGATGTGCTGAACTACAATCCCCAGAAGCCCTAGCAATAGCGACAACGGTGAAGAATCCTGGGACTTCTCCTGCAGCATCGTCTGGAGGACAACAAGCCCTCTGTTCCCGCTGGAACCAACTCTGATGGGCAAATGCCTGAGTTCTGGAGAGATGCATTGAGTGTTCCTTCAGGCATAGCTTGTTAGGGGAACCCAACACTTGTGTTCTGGTGACCCAGGTTCCACGTAGAGTTGGAACCTATCAATTATTGGCCTGTGGTGAGTCCATCTTAAATTCTCAACCGTGTTGGCCTTCAGATTATGCGTTTCTTTCTTGATTCTCTGAATTCCAGTTATCTCCGAGTTCCCGGCTCCCTGAATATATGAATACAATTCATCTCCCCACCACCACCACCACCACCACCATCACAAAGGGGAAGTAATATCTTTAAGTGTCCCTGTTTCTGGGTTCTTTTCCCCTTACTCTTTCAGTCATGGAGATGTATCCCCAGCAAAATACAGCAAGCTAAAGCTGTTCCTCTTTATAATCACAATTTATGCAATGGAAACGCTCCTTCTATTGTGTAGGTGCCTGGAAGTCACTGTGTTGCTTCTTTGCTGACATATGCCAGTCTCTGAAAGCTGCAGGCATGCCTACCAGTGGGGGTGGTCTTCAGGAAAGACCCACTTGGGGAGTGGGGTGCATGTGACCTGTTGGAAACAACAGGCAGTTGGGGCCACAGAAGAGACAAGATAAAGTCGTCTTCCCCAGTATCAAGTTCCCCAAACTGATTTGCATCCCCTTGATATTAATTTTAAAAAAAACCAAGAGCCAAACTGTTTGAATAATGTGTCAGGTTTAGCCCTTAAGGCAAAATCTCTTAAGACAAGCATGACTGCTACTAGTTTCACAAACACGTCCAGGTAGCTGGTCTCATCAAAAGTACGCTGACGGTTTCCCATCTGGTCTCCCGACCAGATCCAACCCTGTTTAGATTTTCCAGATCAGCTGGAGTGAATAGGGTTGAATGGTTAAACTATTTAAAGAGTCATTTTCCCTTCCCCAAGTTGAAAATGGTAGTTCTGGAAGAGAATGTTTACAAGAGATCTCTAGTGAAGAATTCTCAACATTTCTACCAAATGTCAGTTCCTCGGTTTCTCTGGGAGAATGGGGTTGTTTACCAAAGTGTTATGCCCCAGATTCGCTCAGTTATTATTTTGTGTAAATAACAATAGCCTTTGGTACCATACGGAAAACAAGACAAGTTATAATGATGATAAAGCTTGCCACACATTAATTTAAAGTCACAGGGGCTGGTTGAAAAGTGGAGAGTTTGCATGACAGACCCCACCCCAAAATTGTGCCAAATGGGATTTTCTACAAATTTGGATCCTTCCCATTATTTGGGGGCAAAGGACACATTCAGGACAGTTGAGTCTTCTTTCCCTTCTGCCAGATCCATCTTGTCTGAGTCTTTCTCAAGATCCCTCTCCCCACCCAAAAAACCCCCAGATTTTCAAGCTTAATCACAATCGGCTAGAAACTTGGTTGGCTAATTTTCAAACTTTTTTTTTAAATATAAAAATTAAAGCAGCAGATGTTTAAGGCATTTAAAATAAAAAAGGGACAAGGAAAGGAAAGGTAAGGTAGGCTGGGTGAAAATGAAGTTGGCGAGATGTTCTAAAGTTGACTATGACTTCTTTGGTGCCTTAACAAATCTCAGTACAGCATGATTTGAACATCAGTCCCTTTGGGCTACAAGACATCAACTTCATCATACATTAATCACAGTGTCAGCTATTCCTTCATACAATAACGCCTCCGCCCATCTGTTGATATATGGAAGACCTTCCTTTGACCCTTAGCATTCATTTTTGTTTCATTCTTCTCAAAAGTAGTAAATCCAGTGTGGGAAACTTCACACGTGCCTCCTTTCGGTGAACCTGCAGTCACAAGTATCCATCAGCTCCCCAAATTGGATTGAAAGATAGACAAACGGGTTGGTGGTCCAACTGAAAACAGTGTCTGCCCCACGGGATGCACCAAAAATGGTTTTTAGGAAAGGTGGACAGACATCCCAAGAACTTGACTATTCCAAAGAGGTGGAAATTATTATTTTTTTTACATTTTGGAGACAGTGCATTCTGTTGATAGCTAGGAAGGAAGGGCAAGGCAGAGGCAAAAGATCCTCTCAGTATTTCAAGGAAGGAAGGCAAAATTATTCCATGAGATGTTGGTTTCTCAGCCTGGTGGAATTCTTAATTGTGGCTGAGAAAAGCAGCAGCTTTCAAGGTGCCCCCACTGAGAGGACAGTACAGAACATGGATTCTCGCCGAGGCAATGAAGTCACCTCAACTTTGGGCCATAATTCTTCTCATGCTGGCCACCAGCCACATGATGAAGAGGCCCCATCACGTCACATCTCAAAGAAATCCCAAGAGGTAACAGCTTCAACAGTTACTTCACTTGTTTGTCTGACTTCACCTGGTCTTGCCCACAGGAATGAGGGAGTCAAACAGAAACTTGAGAAACTTTGGCCCAATCAGAGGCAACCCAAAACAACAGTGGTCTTTCAACAGTGTCTCTCATGTTCTCATATAGGTCCAATACTTCCATCCATTTGTTCAATGAGAAACAGATGGATTGCTTCAAAGGTGGGACGATCTTTGATGTCTCGGCTCCAGCATTTCATCATTAAGGAAAACACAGGATTTGAACACAGAGGTGGCTGAGACAAATAGGCCTGTGGGCCAGAAGAGCAGAGAGATATCAGTGAGTAATTTCCTTTTCATGCCTATTCTTGATTTATTTCAGAAGGGCCACTCACAATCTCCAACAGCCTTCCATGCAGTTAGAGAGACAGCCAAAAGAGATGATTGAAAAGGACGGAATCCCAAACTGGAGAGTAATTGGCATGAGTGACATTGAATTTTAAATACATTTAACATGTAAATGAAATGATGTCAGATTTGGGTTTTTATTCCAATATCTAAAAACAACAGTTAGAAACTGTCCTATCAAAATTTGCATCCTGGGTTTTTGCACCCATGGGCTGCAAAACTCCAGATGGTTCTCAGATGAGGGCACAGAGAGAGTTTTTCTGAACATTCTGGCTACCATCTAGGGGCCCTGTGGAGTACTACAGCCCAAATATGGTAGCCAACCTTTTCCATCAAATGAAAACAGCCAAGTTTTTTTGTTTACAAATACACTTGAGGAGTGCGTTATGCAATGGAGAATTCCACAGTGATGGGATCAGAACTGAAAAGGCCCCATGTCCCTTGAATCAACCACTTAGATGGACCTCAAAGGCTAAGGAGTCTAATGCCAATGATCAAGCTTATGGTTATGTCCTTTTTTTTTTTTCAAAATCTTCAACAATTTCATATGACTGGGCTATACATGTATTAACTGAACAATTTAAAACAGCTTGGAAATCACCATGAGGACATAGACTGCTGCTGTGGTTCGAAGGCAAGGCAAAGTGGCAGCCAACTTTGGCCAACTCTCTGTCCTTTTCAGCAACCCAGGAAGACCCCCCAAAATCAATTGGTTTAAGTTATGTTAACTTAAGTTATGTTAACTTAAGTTAAGTTGGAGTTATCCTACCTGCCGGCCTTGATCTCGGAAGAATTCCCCTGTGTTCTCAATGACCTGTTCATCAGAAAGCCAGCTATACGGCTGCTCTTTGCATAAGGTGTACATTTCCCACAACGTCACCCCAAAGGCCCACACGTCGCTGGCAGTGGTGAACTTGCCCTAAAGAAAAACCAACCGCAGGTGACTGAAGGCCTCTATCCATTCAGGATCATGCGCATTACCATTTGAGGGGCTGCTAACTTCTTCCTTAATCTTCACCAACCTGGTCGTCCTCCAGGTATGTGGACTTCAGGTCCCTAATTCAATGTGGCTCTTGCTAAGAATTGCTAAGCTGATGTTCACACATCCAGAAAGAGCCTGAGAGAGGTTGTTTGCCCTGGAGATCATATCACAGTGAAAAGAAAGGAAATGAAGTCTGTTCTGTTGCCTGCTTTTCACCAATTGGCTGTTAATTAGCCTGTTTAACCCAGATTTCAGACTGATTTAATAGTAGTGTAATATCCTCTTTCTTGAAAAATCCTGGAAATTATCATTCAAGAAAGATACTGATCTCACAAGGACATTTCTGGACATGCTCAGTTACATTTCCCAGGAGATTCTGGGGAGCAGAACTGTGATTGTTGCATTAGCTAAAACTCTGAAACATGTTTAAGCAGGTGGGACTATCCGTTCCTTCTCCATCTTTGTTTCTTGATCATTTAGGAGGTGGATTGCAACTTCTAAATCCCTGCTTCTTTGGATATAAGCAGTTTTCAAAGTAAAGTGTTGTTGCTAACTTTCTAAACACAGAGATCTCAGAAAAGGGAGAAGGAGAAGGGATGATGACGAAGATGATGGAGAAGGAAAGAAGGAGATGAAAATGGGATGATGATTGATGAAGTTGATGATGATGGAGAAGGAAAGAAGGAGGAGAAGGAGAAGGAAGTAGAGGAGAAGGAGAAGGAGAGAAGGAGAAGAAGGAGAAGGAGAAAGGAGAGGAGAGGAGGAGGAGGAGAAGAAGAAGGAGAGGAGGAGGAAGGAGGAGAAGGAGAAGGATGCAGCTTTAGTTGGTCCATTATGCCATCTTCTTACCAACAGAATACTTTCCCAGGCCATCCAGCGGATCGGTAACACAGCCCTGCCTTGAATCCGGTAATAGTCACCACTGTACAGGTTCCTGCTCATGCCAAAATCAGCAATCTTGATGGTGTAGTTATTTCCAACCAAGCAGTTGCGTGTGGCCAAATCCCGGTGGACAAAGTTGAGGGATGCCAAGTATTTCATGCCAGAAGCGATCTGAGTTGCCATGAGCAAGAGTTGGAGGCAACTGAGGAAGAAAAAAGTCAATGCAAAGAATCAAGGAAGGAATCTTTCCAGTCTCACTGATCCCTGTCATCAATGCAATAGCTTCTTCCACCAGGTAGATCGTCTCAGATTATATAGACCTCCTGGTTTCTTGCACAAAGACCACCCAAACCTTGCACCCAAATGATAGGCTTTTAGAGGAAAATATGCAAACATGACTATCATCTCCCCAGAGTCCTAAGAAACCAATCCAGAAGTCGATCCTTAATTAACATTGAGAATTTTGGTGGCAATGAATAGGGATGTCTACAGGTAAACTGGAGTGGTGGTGTGAAGCCCAATCTCTTGTTCAAAAGTGTGCAGTGTAGAGCACACTTTTTATGCATATTCATTTGTTTCTTCGTGGTATGCGTAAGGCCTCCCAATTCAGAACAACTCTGGGTAATGTACAACATTAAAAACAGATAAAACCAAAGATGATAGTGATAAAGAAGAATCCAAATACCCCCATGAATAGACAAGAGCACCCTAAACAACCCCACCATCTGAATTCAGCTCAGAGCCTGGGAGAAAAACCAAGTTTTAAGTTTTTTTTTTAAGTCAAGGGTGGGGTGGGGGCTTATGAATCTGTGTTGAGATAAAAATGCATGCTATAAGGGGAGAACTAAAAAAAACACCTATTTTAAATAAGAGTGTATCGGGTGACTTATGTATGGATTTTAGTGTGGAGTTCTTCATTTCCTTTCCAAATTCCAACAGATGCATAAATGGAGCTTATGGTTGGAAGTGAATGGGACTGAAATGGACAGCTTTGTCATTCCTCGTGATGACAGAGCCCCTCTCCTAAACTGGAGGGTGTTGTAAGATCACAAGGGATGCGTTTCTGTTTATTTACACGCCCGAGTATTGCTATCAATTCTGCTTTCGGCCACCTCCTCTCTTCCCCTCCATCACCTGACACAAGGAACGTTGCTGGAACGTGTGAAGGTGCTCCTACTCTGCCGTTGCAGCAGGAACTGGTGGAGGTCCCCATTTTCCATGTATTCGGTGATCATGCAGAAGGGATCATCTCTCACACACACCCCCAACAAGCGGATGATGTTTGGGTCATTCAATCGGGACATGATCTTGATCTCTTTCAGGAAATCATTCCTAGGAAAGTAAAAGAAGAATGACAGAGGGCCTAACTTTCTGAGCTGTGTGGTGGGGAGAAGCTGATAGACCTCATTATTGTTCCAATTTTATGAGAAAAGAAGCATATTTCTGTTCAAGGGTCAAGCATTAAGTTAATTGACACATTAAGTTGGACTCCAGCCGCCTCTTTCATGCAACAAATTAATTAAACAATTAATTAATCCACTTCCACAACCACAATTAACGCAATCACAACAGATGGCTGTCTCGGCTCTGCTTGATCACATCCAGTGAAGAGGAGTGATTACTCCTCTTGATTATTGGTTCCATTGTCCAACTGCTGAGGAAGTTTATCCTATGATTAAACCACCATCTCCCTTCTTACCACTTAGGACCATTTCTACATGTCTGAACTCTAGGGTGATAGATGACAATGCATAGTCTTCTAAGTGACGTCTCTTCAGGTCTTTGAGAGTTTTTGCTTAGAGTGAGCAGGCCCCACTTCCGCTTGGTACTCACCTGGCTGTCTTGGTGACATCAGCTCTCAACATCTTCACAGCCACCAGAATTGCCCGGCTGGAACCTTCTGGGGAAGTGCGGCCCAAGAATTCCAGAAGACCAACAGCTTCACACAGGTGGACCTGTCCATGTGAAGGCCAACCCACGAAAGCAACAGTTAGACTAAGCTACAGAACATCTGCAAAGTTAACCTAACTGAATGGTGGGCAGGCCAATGGAATGTGCTACTTCTCCTTGGGTTGCTGAACTCTGTCTGAGAAATGAGGTACACCCACCTCCCCAAACTGCCCTTCTTGGTATACCCACCTCCCCAAATTGCCCTTCTCCCAACTTCTCCTTGAGCTGCAGCTGCTGCCGCGGAAACTCAGCTATGGAAATGTCCTTCTTGGTCAACGAGTCAACAGTGATGGCTGGCACAGCGTATGTATTGTTTCCTGTCACCCCTTGCAAGTTGACGATGTCTGTCTCGGCATAGTGGGGAACGTTATTCTGGAATCCCTGGTGAGGGGTGCACTTGGTGAGGTCGGGCTCTGCATAATCACCACTGCAGGCTGAAAAGCCAAAGGAGAAAAATGGTTTTGGACAAACTTCATGCCTATCATTCCATACGATCTATCTGGGAAGTTCGGCTTCCACTGTTGGACAAGGCAAAGAGAGTTTTAGAAAAAGATACTGAGAGTTTTAGAAAAAGATACTGAAGGCACTTCCAATCTGAGGAGCTACCAAGGTCTTCCTTAATCATCACCAACCTGGACATCCTCCAGGTGTGTAGATGTTCTGATTCCTCTATAAAACTTCCTAAACTTTCTGATACTGCTATAAAATGCACCTGAACTTATTTAGATATTTTGACTGCTGATCTACGTCTGGTTGTCCCTTCCTGGCAACTCTTCACACATATAGAGTCGCTCAAGCTTTTATCAACAGTAGATGAATGTTTGGAGTCGGGGTGAGGAAAACCCTGCCCTTTGCTTTGGCTGGGGATAAACTGGCATGGATCAGCTGGTTGTTTAGTTGTTTGGTTTCAGTTTTTGGAGCATGTCGGTTTCAACGAAAGAACTACCTTGGAATGAAAGGTTCTTATTTGTAGAGAGTAAGGAAGATGACTTTGACAGAGATCTGCAGATTCTATTGCCTAGGAAAAGGAGCTAACACATTTTTTAATCAGAGTTGTGAGATTCTGTTATGATAGCCGATCTCAGTAAAGGTAGTTTTAGTCTTCCTGAGGGGTTGATTTCATGGTTTGGTCTACCTAGTGGGGCTGGCATCATCAAGGTTCATGCCATTGCAAGGCCCAGAGAACAACTTCATTTGATCACCTGGGCTGCAATTTTAGCTGGTAACCCACTGACCCAAAGAAGCAGAAACAATGCTGCTCAAAAAGCAGAAAAAGAAAGGAGGTACTTGGAAGGGAAAAACTGCAAGAAATGGAAAAGGAAAAAGGAGGCGCTGGAGAGATCAAGTTCTGGTAGAAAGTGGGGAAAAGAGAGACCTTGGCCCTCTCTGGACCTGAGTGGTGGCTGTGGCCCTGCCCTGTGCAAATTACTCAAGGAAGTGTGTGAAAGAAAAACCATTCTCCATCGTAGCTTTCAATTAGAACAAGATCTTGGAGGGAGCAAGCATTTTCTTTATCTCAGCTGCTCTTAAGCCACTCTTGTGAAGGATGCTAATGGCTGAGTAGGGCCAAAGCAAGTAGAACCGTGCTCTGGAACCTGTAGTTGTCCCCAATGCATTCACACTCCTCGCTTAACCCTAAACTCAGGTGGAAGGTGTTGTGCAAACCTAACCCGAGTGGACGCTTCCCTACCCGAGTCTTCGGCGCTTTGAGATAACTCTGGCAATTTCTGGAGGAGGGTGAGAGGCTGGTGGTATTCCAGATCCAAGGGGAAGACTCTCTCGTAGGTGGGGTTGGTCTGGTGGATCTGCGTCTGACCACGGACAATTCTGGAGCTATAGAAAGACAGCCGCACTGTGGCATCCTCTTCCAGGATCCGCCGGGGAGCCTAGGGGAGGAGAAGCTGCTGAGTTCCCAACATGAAGAACAAAACTCTGTTGTTTATGTAACCCAGAAAATCTGTAACAGGAAGCCTTGGTGTGTAACCAAGAAGTTCCTCATTTGGGGATAAAACCTCCTGATTAATTCAGGAGACAGCCAAGTTGCAGCTATCTGGAACCCATACCCTTTAAATTTTGGGTTGGTGCCTTTTTCCTATCAATATTTTATTCAATTGTTAGATGCATAGAAACAGAACAAAAGGCTGGGTCTGGAACTGGAGGTGTTAGATGGGAGGAAAAGAAGGTTAAGAAAAAATAGAATGTTATTATTCAGAAGAAGCAGGTAAGCACAGATCTGTTCCATCTGAATTACCTCTTCAGTAGCAATCAGTGACTCCTAGGCATTAAAAACTTAATGGGCTGAAATGGGCTGAAATCCCATCAGCTCTCCGATTCCTGCAAGATATTCAGTGATCCCCTCCCACTCCAAGACCTCATGTAATTTGGTGATCTTGCAAAATTTCAACCATTAAAAATGATAAAAATTGGGGAATGGTAGGACATCTCATCCTCTCTGAATTCATCCAACCCTTTTGGGAAATAATCCTGTAGGTTGTTGTGACATCCCACCCACCCTCCTGAAGAAGTTTGCTTCTTTTGACCCCACTGCTTTACAGGATGAATTAGTGCTAGATCTAGAACCCATGACCCCTTCTAACCCATAAGGGCAGAATGCAAATTTGAGAGATCTTTCAGAGAACAGCTAACCACATTGGGAGTCACTCCTTCCCTGAAGCTTGAAAAAGTTCTAGGGGATGCACGGTACCGTCTCCAGATGCTTCTGAGCGTACTGCCTCCATAGGATGGCAATGATAACCACTAGGAGCAGAAGAATGATGGCCACCAGGCAGCTGATCAGACTAGAAGAGTTGGAGTCCTCTGTCTTCTGCTCGACCCTGGGGCTGATGGAAGATAGGATGGTGCTCCCTGTAAAGTAGGTTCATGGTTGATCAGTCCAAATCAATCAACTCTGGAATGAAAGTCTTGGAAAGAGCTCTTCGAATTCAACCCTATCCTCAGAGCAGAATCAAAATCAAACCATCCCCAGCAAATGTTGATCCTTGAACCTGGCAACTTATGTGATCGTTGGTTCTACTCTTAAACTGCTTGTAAGGCTACAACAACGGCTTTTAATTTAAGGCTCCATTCTATCCTGCATTCTGTAATGGATCTGAGGCAGGTTCTTCAAGGGATCCTTCTGTATGGTCATTTTAAGATAGACAGTCCCTAGGGAGACCCACGGAGCCCTGTTACTATATATAGTGGGGCACAACAAACCCTCTTGGAGTTTGGGTGTGGCGTAGAGTCCAAAATTAGCCCAGAGTTACTTATATTTATTATTCTGTTAATATCAATCTTTTTTCCTGAGATTTTAAGGTATGTACAGTACTTGAGGGTCTCCCTAGTTTTATCCCTGCAACCCATAAAATAGGTGACAGTGAGTGATTTGCCCAAAGTCACCCAGGCAGCTTCACGCTCACTGCTTTTCCCCCAGTGCAACTCTAAGCTTTGATTTGCTTAACTGGGGTTTAATGAATAAACCACAAATAAACCACACTTCCACACCAAACCACAATATGCCCCCAAGCGCATACACGTTGGCTGAATGAGTTGTACAAACAAGGCTAATTTTTGTTGTTGTGGCATTTCATTTTAGGAAACTGCTCCTCCCCACTCTGTAGTCCAGAAGATGTTGGACTACAGGTCCTATCATCATCTCTGGCTGGCACAGCCACTGATGGGAGTTGTAATCCAATGTATTCAGGAGAAAAGCTGCCCTTAATTCTACGCAGGGTGGGAAGTGACAGTACTGGTCATCGTGGTACTTGGCAATGTCACTTTTACAAATCATTTTCTCCCTAGCTTCTTACCCCAAGTCCCTTCTGTAGCGTTCGGTCCTTCTGATGATGGATACGTCTCTGTGGTGCTGCTCCATGTTGAAGTGACCAAGATTGGATCAGGAGCATCCATATTGACTGGAGAATTGAAAAGTGTGAAAAAAGGCATTATTTACAGTCCTAGCCTGGGGAACCTGGCAGAGGAGAAGGGTTGTTAACAGTTGGTCCTGGGTATTCACCTGATTGAAAAGAGACTTCGCTTATCATCATCCAGGTATCAGCAAAGTAGAAACGGCAGAGGATGGCTTTGCCCACGTGCTGGTGGAAGGGGACGGTCACAAACCGTGCGCTGGGATTCTTGTCGTCCAAAACGGTGTCTAAACCTACAGGTTGTGGGTCCCACTCGGCAATCAGCCGCGGCTTGAAGAGACATTCCACCCTCTCAAAGATCTTCACCCCTTTGGAAAACATATTGTTGCAATGGACCTGCAATTCAGCAGTTGTAGGGAGAGAAAATGGCAACCATCAGGTAACAATGTTTGTTTTCCATTACAGGAAGTGGTATGCCACTCTTAAATATTTATGTGCTAAATGTAAACCTGGGGGTGTAGGTGCTTACTCAACCTGGCTTTGCAGAAATGCAGGCATCAAAAATGTTCACCAGGAGAAGGTTCTACCTTCATGGAGGTGAAGTTCCTCTGGCGGTCAAACTGGAACTCCATCTCCACGACGCCATTCCGGAAGCTGTCGTTCCTCCAGCCGACGTAGTCGTAGCCTGGCCACACGCGGTATTGGTGGCTCTTTGTGAAATCATCTAATCCCAGGACACCGTCCGTGAGCTGGCCCAGCCCACCATGTAGGAGCCTGACACGAGAGCATTTCTCATTCAGAAGAATTCTTGGAGATGCCATCTAGGTGATAGGTTGGAACTTTATGGTTTTCTCCATTTCCCTCCCAAAATATTCATATATACTGTAAATATATGTATATAGTTAAAGGGTAACACGGGGCTCAAAAATGGATAATCGCTTAAATATTAATTCACCTGTAAAATTCAGTCTCATTCCCATGGTGATGTCACTTAAGTTGGATGAGGCTTTCACTGGGGTTTGGATAAATCCATAGAGGACAGGTCTATCAAGGGCTATTAATTTTGATGACTCCATGTTACTTTCTAGCTGAGGGTGGACTATCTCTGAATTGCAGTTGCAAAGGAGCAATGGTGGGATAAGTGAATGTTTCCATCTCCTGCTTGTGAGACTCAAGAAGTATCTGGTTGGCTACTATGAGAAACAAAATGTGAGACTTGGGTGGGCTTTGGGCTCATTCAGTAGGGTTCCTCTACATTTATATTAAAAGGGAATTGGATAATTCCATGGAGGATGAGTTTATAAAGGACTATTGGTCTTGAAGACACCATGTTACCTCTGGGCTGGGAACAGCTGATTCTAAATGCCAGTTACAAAGGATCAATGGCGGGAGAAGTGAATGTTTCCATCTCCTGCTTGTGAGCAGCCCAGGGGCATCTGGTTGACCATAGAGAGAAACAAAATGCAAGACTAGGATGGACCTTGATTTGATTCCACAAGGTGGTTTATATTCCTACTCAAAATGAAGGGGGTGAAAAAGCATCCAGTAACTTTTCAGATGTAGATCCCTTGCTCTGGATCTCATCATCTTCAACTGCAGCTCTCTAGGCATTTGACTGAACCTAGAGAGAAATTCTCCTGCAGAAG